GGGGAGTTGCACGTTTCACTGATCTTTTGATTTCTGTCTTTCTCAGTTAGTGTAGAACAAATGCATTCTACTTTATTTATTTTGAGATTATTTTGTTACCTTTCTGGTGCAGCAGGTCTCTATGAAAAAAAAAAAACACCCTCTGACCTTTGTGTGCGTTCTGTTCCTTATGTGCACCACATATGATCGCTCCTGTGCCATTTTACTTTCTCACCCTTTCAGTCAAATTCGATCCAGAACAGCCCAAATGTGCACAAATTTGTAGCCTCCGTGCAATTTAAAACGTTTAAACTTTTCATCAAAAGTCATCACATTTCAGGCTAGAATGACATTTTAGTGTTTTACTGCTAATTTTACACATTTGTTATATTACATTTTCGAAAACAGAACAGTGTACTGGTGATAGACTAGATCAAAATGCATAAAATTGAACATAAAAGGCCATAGTGCTTGCTTGGTGCACATGCAAAGAAGGATAAAAGGAAGATTTGAGATAGTCCCCAACTCCAGCCTGATTTTATACTTAAATGCCAAATCACAAGTACAAAATAACACCTGTGTAATTACCGATGTTCTTTCCATAAAAAAAAAAGAATCAAAAATAATCCTGGAAAGTGACTTGATGCACTCGAGAGCATTACCCATAAATGAAATTAAGCTAAAAATAACACTTTCTTATGGAGCCTATAAAAATGTGACTTTTTTTACTTTAAACACAATTTCAAAAACCTGTCTTAGCCATTTTTATGCCTTCCTAAAATTTGGTTGTTATACGCATCTTTTTAAATCTGAAGGGTGTATTCGCATTCTCTTACATCCTCATATAACTTAGCCGTTCGGCTTTACATGCTTGTGAAAATCCAATTTGCTTTGCCCAGGAAAAACTAATGAATATTTTAGGGGAGGCTCCTTTAAAAATGACATAGATATGTTTTTGTCAGCTCTCTCAATGGTTTACATTCTCTCTGACTGAAAGGAAGATTAATAAACCGATATACTGTTAAATGACTCAACTTGAACAAACCACTGGAAAATATGTAATTGAAAACACAGAGATTTTTGTACCTGTATATACAAACATACACTACACACACACGAGCACAGCGCTTCCTTTTTTACCTTCCATTGCCACAAGCTAAATTCCTCAATTCATTAGAGGAGAAAAACACACAGTCCAACACTCACATGCATTCATCTGGCAAATGTGGCCTCAGGAATAATGATTTACTGTGGCTCATATTTCACCTGAGTGCACAGGGCAAACAGTTGACTGAAGTGTTGTGGAGAAAATGCTAACTGAAGCATTTTTGACTGGAGCAACTGGACAGATAACGTTTTGTGCTATTTGTGTGAACGGTTTGTATGTTGGGTGTAATAGACATATTATATAAAATACACAAACCTTTTGAAATACCCTCAAAATTAATGTCTTCCTTCTCCTTTCTAACGCTACATAAGCTCACTTTTGATGGGGAATGTTGCACAAATATGCAGTTGTGTCCAGTAGTATCAAAACCGCACTTTATAGAGGTCATTAAGACATTTTTTTAAAGTGCACAAACATGTTTTGCAACAAACCCACAGTGCTAAACAATCTGGGCTCTGTGCTCTCACTGTGGACCCCTTTCTGCTTGTGCAGGAGTATAGCCAGCACAGGTAGGGCCAGCATCAAATCAGTCTCAGCTGCCTCCTGCCCTGCCCTCTGTTCTCCTCCTAAAGAGCTTCCACTTATCTGCCTGCCACAGGACTGTATGTTTGCACCCGACCACTGTCACGTCGACACCATTCTCAAATTGATTGTGACAGTGCAAGAGCCCTGATTTTTCTGCTTCAGAATTCAAGCTGCCATTTCAACGCTAGTGTACAGCGTTAAGCTTTTTTCTGTCTTTCTTTTTTAGCAGATTCCAGCAGAATGAATACAGCTTGTGTTCCAATTTAGTAACTACATATTTTCCTCCAGTTTGAGTAAATGCTTGAGCAGTTTGTGTGTGTGCTTCTTCTTTTTTCTCTTCTTTTTTTTTTCTTATGCCCCCATCGGGGGGCCAGTAAACTACCACTCAGCAGGGAAACTTAAATAGCTCTGTTGAGTATGAAGCTCAAAGACCCTGCACAGAGCAAGCCAAAAGACATATAAGCATATATGTGTATGTATATATGTGCATAATGAATGGTTATTATCAGTCACTTGTGATCATATAACAGATCTCTCTGAGATATATAATTATAAATGTCAACTGTCCAAGTTTCCTCAACTGAAATCTTTTTATCTGTGTACTTCTTTCTTGTGCACTCTTTCCACCTTGCCTCTTATTATCTGTTACTTTGTGTGGTTTGGAGCCTTTCCAGCTAGCCTCCCTTTCTTGCTCTGTGGTTTTGTTCAGGAGATTTCATCGTTCCTGCAGATTGACAGCTAAGCTCAGGTATGAAAACAAACAGTTAGCCCTGGAATTGACTGGTGAAAAGAAATCCGCCACTAATGCTCCTTCACAAGCTCTCCTTTTCGCCTCCCCGTGCTGATGCTAAGCCCTGACGGCGTACAAGAAAAGCCAGATGGAGATTTGAAATCATTAACCCTTAATAACACCCCTCTGTATGTCTGGGTTAAGCACATTGCCTCCACTGGATTACGCCACTTTCGACTTACACTAAAACACTAGAAAACATGCCTTTACCTCAAAACAGCACAATATGTATGAAACACGCGTATTACAATAGGCTGTAATTATACATCTGTCATTTGTAAGGGGAAAATGGTTGGTTGGGTTTGCGGACCTTGAAAAGAAAAATCTCTGATGTTGTTGATGCAGTTGTTATGTTTGTTGACTGTACATGCGTGTTCGGCTCAAAAGGATAAAGTATTCGGGGCATGTTTGAACACAACTGCTGCAAAAGAATGTCTTTATTTTCACGAGCAAAGCCTCAGGTCAAATTCTCTCACACCTATTGTTTTTTTTATCTCTTTCCTAAGAACAAGACAAAATCATTTCCTCACCAGTCAGATTCCACCACTTGCCTCTGCAATAACAATGGCTTCTCTTTCAAGGCTCCAATGGAACAATGTCAAAAGAGAGCCTACAAGGCGTTTGGTATAATTTGCGGAGGAATAAGTAAGCGATCTGCACAGAATATGCAAGGCCACTCTGCTACTAGGTACTGTAGCCTTTATCTGCATGTAAAGCTTTTTTTCTCCGCAACCTTTCATTCATTTATAACCTACAGATATGTTTGCCTTTTGTACTGATTTTAACCTAACAATTAATGGGACCTCTGATTCATCATAACACTTTAGATCTTAATCATAAGGTGTTTTCTGCTTGGTACCTTTGTTTGTGTTTTAATTAGGTGGACCTTGTGCATCTCCAACCCTGGGCCTCTTTTTAATTGCCCGTATTTACATCAGGCAGACATCAAACGCAGAGAGAGAGACATTTGTAAGGGTGAGCACAAAGCAGCCCTTTGAAATGTCTACAGTCATATGAAATGGCATGCTAATTAAAAATCTAAGGCTGCCTCTGTGATAGGAGAAGCATTTATATTTGTAACTGTGGTGTAAAGACTGTCTCCATAACTCATCAACAGACAGAGGCCATAATGTTTATTATCAGGCTCCCTACCTGTTTACAGACCACCAAGTAACCTTCCTTTTCCCATTCATCAAACAGAAAAAATGCCCTGCCTGTAATTTAACAGACCAGCTTTCAAAAGGCTAAATCATTTTAAACATTTTACCCCATGCACTTTGATCTCCACTGACACACAGTGTACTAGCACAGGTACAATGAATCGAGTTTAGCAAGCAACAATTTATCCATCACTTCATTAAGGTTATTGCTAATGAATATACTTATTAGAACATTCATCTGCTTTTTTTAACCTTTCTGTGCAGGTGGAGAAATTTAAATTAATCATTAAAGTTGAACGCTTCTGATATTTCCCATTTATGTTTTATGAAAAGAAACAATTAAGCAAATTATCAATATAACCTGTACCTTAATAAACTACGGCCCCCTTGTTTGTGAATTGTTTCCATGAAATGTTAATTAAAACGCTAGGTGCACTGATATAATATTATCTAAAGGGTTTCCAAGAAATTAAAGCAAGCCGCTAGAAGTTCTTAGTTGAAGGGATTTACCGGGAGCCACTGGCAGCCCAGTGTCAGCAGCCAGCTGGTATTGTGCTTCCCTGTGCTGTATAAACACAGCAGCTCGCTGTAACAGTCAGTGCTAAGGACTGAGCAGCTGCCCTGCCCATCCTCAGCCCACCTTCACGCTGTCATAAACAGAGATTTTGGGGGAGTGCTGAGTTGCTCTTTGCTGTGGTGCTCTCGATAGGCTGCACGGGGCGTTCACTGTCAGCGTCAAGGCATTCCACTCAAACGCAAGCTCACCGAGGAGACGACTCTGCGCGTCTCCGCACCCTCTCCTCTCCAAGCCGCTTCTCCCCTTTCAGCTCAGCCGTGGTCTGTTTACATCAAGCACACTTTGGGTTCAACAATTACCAGAGCAGCATGAACGCACCGCATGTGCCAGAGCAGAGCAGCGAGGCTCAGGGCCGTCTGAAGGGACAACAACAATAAACTGCTGACAAGCAAAGAGAGCCTTCGACTGAGGCTAAATGGGCTGGAATTTTGAAGAAAAGCACTTTGGACAGAGTTGGGCATTCCAACAAAAGATAAGGGAGGAGAGAAATGAATGAGGAGGGCAGCCAAAGGCCTTTGTTTCATTTCAAAGTACAAGGCTTTTTCTGATATTAAACAGCACATATACTATGTAAGTCTGATAGGAATGAGGAACTCACGGGGTACTTCTATTCATACCTTTTACTTCTGCCAGCAGTTCACTTGTGTTGAGCCTCTCCATCTTCTCTTTCCAGTCTTTAGAAAGAAGTTTCTCCATGCACGAGGATTCTAAAAAAAGAAAAATTAGAAGGGAAATTTAAAGCCATTTGTAATATTTGACGTTTTTATGTATGTAATATTGTGCAAAGTATATAGTTTCGCTTTTCATAATTTTGTAGATGTCATAAATCCATATACTTAAATGAAAAGATGGTGAATCAGACGAAAGAGAGGTGTTTTATTTGATGGCATTGCGCAGGAAACATTAAAAAGAGACTCCGTCCGACAGCTGAGAGATGAGCTAGGGGTGGAGTGAGAAGGGAAGCAGGCATTGTGGGACTACCATAAGGGCAGAGACACACATTAAACGGGAGGCAAAGAGTTAGACTGGGTACGTCCAAACGTTCACATAGCTGCCAATGATGAAAACAATTAACATTTGTCCAGCAGACAATGAATCAGAGAAGGAATGGCTGCAATCTGCCATGCTGTCGCTGGTGTAGCTGATAAAGAACATACTGGGCTGGCTGACCTAGGCCTCCACCATCTCTGCGGTGCTTCGGGTTCAGCCTGTTCCCATCAAACAACAGTAGAGCAACCCTCCACTCTGAGCCTGCCTCTAATCTGAACCAGAGCAACACATCCAGTCCTATTGAATTATGCCTTTTAAAGCCGCAGCCTCGGTGCAATTCTTTGAGTATTTTGAGTGAAATATGAAAATAAATTTTACTGACTTATAATTAAAATAAGTTTTATAGAGATTGCATTTATAGATAGATTTTTGCAAATTGTATAATTAATACGGAGCAACATTTAAAGCTGCAAAGCTGCGGAACTCCATAATGAATAGTCTTACAAGCATATAACAGTGGATCATTCACAAACATACTTCTGGCAACACACGGGCAGAATTTATGGTGTTTTGTTTTACATAATGCAACGGAGGAGGAGTGAAGACTGAGAAAGCCCTGTCACGTGAAACATCTGGATTCTTCCAGTTTTACCACTATCATCCTTGGGATCAGAGGAGATTTATACAGTTGAGGATGTATACAAATGTTGCTTCCTTTTATCCTTCTGTATCATCTCTCGCCCGCTTCCACAAACCAAACACTGTTGCTCCTTCTGACAAACACACTGAGTTCAGAGGATCTGGGAGTAACAGGGGGTCAGTAGTTGTTGTGGCCTTGTTTAAGGGTGGCTTTCAGCGAGATCAAGCAGAGTCACCATTTTGTTTGATTGGCCACTTCCTCCAATGTGATGGGGGTCGACAGGACATCTTCAGCTCGGGGTCATTATAACATTACTTCTGCTTTATTGACTTTCCAATTCCCAACTCACAGTTTGTGCCCTTGACCCTAAGAGAGGGAGTCAGAAAAGCCTATGTGTTTTGTGTGTGCTTGTGTGTGTTAACTCCCTGCGTGGCACAAAGATCACAGATCTTAAAACAGGGTGTTAAGGGCAGGGGGAGTAGCAGAGCTCAGCTTTTCTTCCCTGCTTCTCACCCCTGGGTGAGAGGGCTTCCTCTCCCAGAACAACAAACTCCCTTCAAATCATAATCTCCTGTCAGACACAGCAACACCAGCGCTTGACATTTTCCCCCTGAAGCACAGACATATTTCAAAAAATGGTAAAAAGGGGAATTAAACAAACACGTCGAACATATGCTAATAAGCAAACATATGCTCTCTCGCTCTCTTTCTCTCTCACACACACACACAAACACACTCACTTTCATCACAGATGCTTCTCTAGCACTTGATCATTAAGGAATGCACCAACAGTTGGAGATAATGTGGTGCCAGCTTCCATTCTACTCCAGTCCTCCCCCTCCCTTCCACCTCCCTCCCAGGAGAGCTGCCGCTCCCTTACTTCTCTATCCCCTCTGCCGGGCCAGACACGACCTGCCAAGTCCTCCAACAGGAGAAACTACAGCTGGAATGCACTGCTGTCCTCCCTACCTTCCACCTGGGAAAGGTGAATAATGACCTGGATTAGTCCATAAAATAACTCTCAAACACCTTTAAGTGTTCAAAGTGTGAACAAAACAGGGAACCAAAAATGGATTTGGTAAAAGAAGAAAAACTTTGTGCGCAGGCGTGCTCGAGGAAAGCAGTAAATGAGTCAGATGTCTGGCTTTTTTCAAATCACCCGTCCACGGCCTATTTTCCTGAAGAATTTAGATTAATCCGAGGAATGCTACTTCAGTTTCTAAAATGTCTTTCTGTTTTCCCAGGAGAAATTATAGATGCCAATGAAAACACTGGTTACCATCAACATACTAATTACTGTCAGCTTATGACAGGGTGTCAAAATTGATACACAGTGTATTCACCATAAAATAACAGATTATTTGTAATACAAGATTCACGCTTAACTCCTGATTGCTTTTTTTAAATACATACTCAGATGTTCTGAAAGGAAAAGTGGTAAACTTGTGAAGTTTTTCGTGTTTGGAAGACTTTGCTGCTCTTGTCCTTTCAAAGTAGGACATAATATACTAGGGAATTAGCTTAAACAAGAGAAGAGTCCAGCGAGTTTATTTTTATTTTCCTATGGGGGCTCTTAAATCTCTCACCCACCCCCACCCCATCCATTTTTTCTCTCCCCCTCTTGAGATAAAATGCTCTGTGGCTGGGGAGCAGGCCATTCAGCTGGGATGAGAATGGAATGAAAACAATAGCCCTTATCAGGCTCTTATTTACATTTTCCCAGCGTCCCTGCAGTAGACAGCTTGGCTTGTCACCAAGCCCAGATCGCCCCACTGGACCCAGACCAACTTCCTCCAGCCCCAGCGATTCCAGTGGTCCCTATGGACCCTTGGCACAGGCCCCCACCGCTCTGCAGCTAGCACAGATAGCAACATACAAGACAAAACTACTGGAGTGTGTGTGTCCAAGATGTGTTCCCAGTGAGAGGGGAATGGTTTCTTGACTACTAAGCCTGTCTGGGTCTCATTGTCTGGGGCTGGTGCTATATAGCTGGAAAAATGCCCTGAACTCTTTCCCAATTTTATTTTGCCAAAATGGCACGCAGAAGAAAGCGAATAGTCATTAACACTGCCAAATTCAATATGTTTAGCTCCTATCAGGGGTGTCATCTCTACTATACAGCTCTTCTATGCAAGCATTGTGTGATCTTATTGATGTGGCTGAACAGGCACAGGGATTGAGACACACAGAGCTGCGATGATTGGGATAGATTAGGCTACATTTTTTTAAACTGTATTAAAAACAAACCTTAATGATCCTCATAAATCTTAACAGAAGAATGTTTCTAGGATGATATGTGACATAAACAAAGCTTTCAGCACCTGGCAGTCAGTGGTGCCAGAATATCATGTTCAGTATAAACCACAGAAGCTAAAAGACAGGTTACTACTATCTGTCCTGATACCGACTGACTCCCTGACAGTCTTGAAGAAAAATACTGATATTCCTGCTATTTGTCTGTCTTTCCCTGACGTATTTCGACCTCTCTTTCAGCACTTTCTCCACTCTTTTAAGGAAAAAGAGACCGATCCCAAATTTGTTTTGTTTTTTCTCAGATTTGGAAAAAGAGAAGACAGAAGAAAATTTTTGCTAATTAATCTTTTTATTGCTGCTGTTGACAGAAAAAGTCAAGTTACCAAGTGGTACATCAAACCGACTAAAAAAATGCAGTCACAAACACATCAGATCCTGTCACACTGGAATTAGATTGGACAGCAATAAACTAGATCTTAAAAATTAATGATATGGTACGGAGCCCCGCAGGGGACATGGGAGAAAAAAAAATTAAGACGGACTTTTGCGAGATCCCGAGTTAGTTTTGCGAGATCTCGCAAAAGTTTTAGCCGCATTCTTCCCATTAGCTCGAAGCTAACGGGAGGTCGAGACCTACTACAGCTGGGAGGAACACTGCTTTCCCGGCACATCGTGCCTCGACCTCCCGGTCGGCTTCGAGCCGGCGTCCGAAGAATGTGGCTAAAAGTTTTGCGAGATCCCGAGGTAGTTTTGCGAGATCTCGCAAAAGTTTTGCGAGATCCCGAGTTGGTTTTGCGAGATCTCGCAAAAGTTTTGCGAGATCCCGAGTTGGTTTTGCGAGATCTCGCAAAAGTTTTGCGAGATCCCGAGTTAGTTTTGCGAGATCTCGCAAAAGTTTTGCGAGATCTCTTTGCAAAAGTCCGTCTTAATTTTTTTTCTCCCATGTCCCCTGCGGGGCTCCGTAATATGGAGCTATGAAGTACACTGTGTATATTAAAGTGAGTACTCCACCACAGCTTGGGTTAAAAAAAAGCCCACATTAGTTTTTTTTTTTTTTTTTAATATTATCCTTTACAATCCCTAAAAAGTTGAATATAATAAAGTTTTTGATGCAAGAAAACACGTCGTCATGTTTCAAAAGACCACGGATACCTCAAAGCACAAGAATGGTTTGTTACAACATGAACCGATGTGTGTTTTATTACTCTGTGTTGTCAGCAATGAAAAGGTTTCAACTGCCTGCCACCACAGTTTGAGCTGCTCTGTGAGCTCCATTCTCCTGGGAGAAAGATGATACTTGTGTTTGAGTGTTTGTTGTGTTGAAAAGCTGTTGGCAGAGTAGAGAGGGCTATCTAGGAGGGTCAAATTAGCTATAAGTCATGGATAAGAAACTAGGAGGACCTCCCCTTTAGCATTGGCCTTGTATATCAGTTGTCTCAGCCTCAAGGGGAAACGTGTAATTACCAAATCAATGATCAGCTGACACTGACCGTATAAATAATTTCCTCCCCACAATGGAGAGGATGAGACAGTGAGGCAAATAGGGAAACAATTTAGCATTTGCAGTGAGGGGTGGATGGACAGAGGAAAACGAGTAGGTTTTATACAATTTGGCTTAATCCAATTATAGTCAAATTCCACCTATCAATTCATCCATCCATGCATCCATGCATCCATCCATCCATCCATCCATGCATCCATCCATCCATCCATCCTCACTTAAACAAAACTGACAAGTTTAAAAAAAAAAAAAAGAGTGAGTCAAAAGTAAATTTCACATAAAACTATACCATAATTGTAACCTAGTGATGATTGGTGCTTTCT